TGTAAATTTTCCACTGTATCTTCGCTCCTATGTCTCATCATAATGTGTTATTTAGCCTAAAGACTTCCTCATAAATGCCAACACAAAATTAAATTTTCAAACCGAACGAATTGTTCTTGAGATTAGCGCGCTCAAACAAACTTTTCAGTTTTATATATTAGTATAGAGTAAAGATAGTGATGGGCCGGGTTTAGCTAAAATTATAAAAAAATACATTGAGAAGTCATAAATTTTAAGAAAGCATAGACTGGAGATATAATATGACTTATACACATATTTCTTCCTAAGCCAGCCAGCGTACCTACGCTTGTCGTTCCTGGATAGTGAGTTACTCAGGTGGTAGTCAATGATCGGCCCACACTATCTGCTAGCCATTTCACCAATTTCCCCATACCCCTTTGCAACATTAGATTACCAAACTCTCACTGTATCCCCTTCAAAGGGTCCGCTTTCTTAATATGTATTTGTTCCAACTTTTTTTTTTTTAATAACACTAACTTAATCTTCAGGTTATTATTACACGTAATTAGCACAGCCACATCGTAGAAACTTATTAATGTAAGTGTTACCTGTAGATATATGTGGAAGTTTGACGAACATACCTCACCAGCTTCGTAGGTTCTCGCTTTACCGTTGTACGTAGGTTTGTACCAAGATCTACGTAACCTCTACGCTTGGTCTACGGGTATACCTATAACATTCTGCTTAGGTACAGGTTTTGTTACGATAGTTTTAATTTTATCTTATACTAGCGGTCCGACCCGGCTTCGCACGGGTAGACATAAATAGGTACAGATATTTAAATTATAAGCTTGCTAATTAAAACGACCATGAATTACTAAATTAGAGAAAAATTTTATAAATCGTCCTAGCTGTTAACGACCGCTGTCTATCTCGTTGTGTCAGGAGCCGCTGCGAACGTTCAGTATCCCGTGCACGCGTTCGCGAATTCCTAGCTCTATTTCCTTCAAGTTGCTGCGACGATCTTGCATTTTGTTCTGCAAGACGAACCTGAATATTCGACGATAGAATCTCTGGCTCGCGATTGGGACGCGTACAATTTAACACTTTCCAGACGATCATTTTAGGAAGAAGACTCTCCAATACGACGAACTTCTGCTAATCTCACTTGGGGACTATTCTTAGATATTTATTTTAAACTAATAATAATACAAAAGAAAATATTTAAGTTCAAACCGATAGTTCTGAAAAGAACTTTGACAAATGTTATGCAAAGTAGGATTCCTAATACTAAAACTAAGTAGCTTTGAATAGAACTTTTTAAGTGAAGCATAATAGTACATTATGATATAAGTGCGGTAAGTTGAAAATTACAGCCGAGGCGATATTACTATACTGTTCTTTTTCTTAGCAAAGAGGTTTTATGTCAAGAAAGTGGTCAATATTTTATGAATAAAATTAACTTTGGGAAATAAAATATAACAAATAAACATTTAATTCTTTAATTTAATTAATTTTGACAATAAATTACAACCATTTATCTGTAACAAAAACACAAAGTATTAATTTACTTTATTAGTAATACTGGCTGTTTTTGTACCTTTGCCTAAAAAAAAACGTTGATGCGCGCGCATCGCTTATTCGTGGAGAAGTAAAAATAATTCCGCGCGCTTTTTCTTTTCGCTGTATTATTTTTATTTGAAAATGTCGTCATTTCCTCATAAATATGTTATAAATTCTCGTATGACATACGTGCGCTTTGAAAATTACAGCTTCTGCTTTCTTATAGCCCTCGCCGATGGCTCGGGCTAGTAATATCGCCTCGACTGTAATTTTCAACTTACCGCACTTATATCATAATGTACTATTAAAAATCTAAAATAAATTGAAAAAATGTTCGACTCGGGCAGGACATAAACCGGCATCGTCAGCATTCAAAATTTTTTTCAAATATTTTCAAATTATATAGTGCCTTAATGTGCAATAACATGTAAAATATAATAAAGTTTTAAATCGTAAAACGTTGTTGTATTTAATTAAAAAATAAATTGTGTTGTAAATATTTTATTAATAATCAATAATTATATTCTGTGCAAATACGAATAATGTCGCTTTATGAAATATAACGAAAGTAGCAGCCATTTAAAGGGAAATACGTGGCACTTGTATGAAAAGAAGGCGGGTTTTGATATGTGAAAATGTTAGCTAATAATAATGTGTCCAATGACAATGGCGCGAACGACACAAAGCCGTTGTATATTGTGTCAACCAGCACAATGCATGCACATACAAACACAACCAATTTACTCTGTACTTAACAAATTGACAAGCAATTAACTACCTTATTTCATTACGATAGGGACGGCGGGCATGACAAATTTTAGAGTCCATAAAATTCAACTGCGTATAATAATTACTTCTTACAAGGACACCTTTGCAAACGTAATGAAGACTATCCTACCTATGTAAAAGCAGAATATCAAAGACTACCAGTTCATAGCTGGTGTTGGTGGTACAGATTTTGCTGTACATCATAATAAACCTGTCTTAAAGTAACATACAGTCTATGGAATTAAATACCAATTTATATTCAATATAAACAAATTTAATATTTACTATGTTTGTCAGCAGTTTTACTAGGACTAAATTTTTACATTTTTACCGCCAAACAAACATTGTATCTACTATTGTGATAATTAAAAATTCAATAGATCAATAGTTTAAAAAGTACGCTCCTCCACTACGAAAACGGTTACGCTCATGATAAATAATATAAAATGCAATTGGCTTAAAATTATAAGAATATTTTAAAGTTAAGCTCCTCACAACTGTACGAAAAACTGGTTTTTTTTTTTGGGCCGAAGTTAAAAACAGCGTTCCAATAGGTATAACTGTATACCCCCCCCTTTAAAACCGAAAAAGTGTTTTATTAAAATGTGTATACTCGCGTAAACAGAAACAGTATTTTCTTTGTTACGAAGCCCTCTTTTCGTCTTTTGTATTCACTTCGTCTATTGAAGTGAAACCTTTCCAATGGCTCTTTATAACCGCCTTAAAGTACGGGGCTTAGGAGATACGGTGATACACACAGAAAATATTTTTCTCAATCTTGTTAATATATAAATTATTCAAATTATAAATGTTCAAGCCATTCATCCATTAATATTACGAAATATTTTTTCATGTTTCAAAGCTTATGCTTACTTAACGCTTAATTTTTTAACGTTTAAATTTTAAGTGTTATTTTTACGTATAAGTTAGGTTACGTTTGTTTCTACACATACATGTACTTAGGTGTTTAGCCCATATAATAAATTAAAGTCTTTAAGTTATAATTATATTTTCATTTTTAATAAGGTTTTATAATATGGAGCACCCATGGTCTATTGAATATCAGGATTATTTTAAAAAGCATAGTTAGAGACTGAAATGATGCCATTGTCTCTGGTCTCTTCTAGAGGCGGGCGATTATGAGATATACTAACGAAATCATTCGATTATGAAAATGTCTCGAGATATTTCGATTATAGCGGTTAGTAATTACTAATATGTACTGGACGATTATGAGATATACTAATGAAATCATTCGAATGAAATGTTAGTAGTTACTAATAATATAAGAAAGGTGGGTCGATTATGAGATATACTAATAATTATTCGAATAAATGTTAGTGTTACTAACACTAGTAAGAAGAGGTGGGTCGATTATGAGATATACTAATGAAATCATTCGATTATGAAATGTTAGTAGTTACAATAGAGAAGTATAATTAGTAGTTACTAATACTTCTAAGTTAGGACAACGCACTATGGCTTCTCGCTCGTTTTAACGTTTAGTATAATGTCGTATGTGACCCTTTTATTATTTTTTTATTACGAGCATATTCTATTGGATGACGGTATAATAACATTAAAACTAGAGGTATATTTAATATTCGTTGATATTTTTCGGCTTCTTATTGTTTTTGTATTTATGTTTCCCAAATAAGTTGATTTCTTCTTAGATGGTCGCGGCAATTTCAGAAATCAGTCAGTCTAAAATAAAACGGTTAATGATTAACAATATTTCTTGGATTAAATACAAAGATTCATAAGTTATTTAAATATTTGTTTAGAATTGAAAAAAATACAAAATTGTCAAGTAATACATGAAGGAAATGAACATTTATTTATTAAAAGGTTATTTAAAACTAAAAGTCATATTTACACTTTTAGACAGAATTTAAAGAGGTCGGTCAACTTACTTACTTACATATGATAAATCCACTAAAAGGTGAAAAGCGTCACATCTTACAATATTGTAGTAAACAAAACAAACTACACCAGTATATAAAAGTGTATATTATTGTTTAAACAACTTAAGTCAAGGAGTGCACGATTAGTATTACTAATTAGTAAAATCATTCGATTATGAAAACAAATTAGTTACTAATCCCATAATCGATTACCAACATTAGTAATACAAAATAAATCGATTATGCCAATCATTCATAATCGCCCACGTCTGGACTCTCTTCTAACTCTTAACTTCTACCAGGCCATTAAATATAAGAAAAACACTTTACATAAAATATTATTAAAAAAACTCTCTATTTCTCATTTCCCCTTCTACATAATAAGAATATCTGTGTATTACTACATTCACTTTCATTGGATTACCACCAAAGAATTACTACAGATAACTGATAAACACAACCTACTTTAATGTCTACACTCTCAGTCTATTGTCTACAGTTGATCTAAACTCTATAATTTTTGTGTTAATGATAGAACGCAATGAAACCGAAAGCGTAATGTGCTTTTGTTTTTAAGAAAATATATGCTCTGATAATACTTCTATAATATTGATATAATTACGTGTTTGGTATAAGGTAAGATAATGTGATATAAATACAATTTCAACAAGTATTTGGTTGCCATTATCGGTCTACCCATGTTGTCCAAGATGGCGGATTAAGAATTAGTTTAAAATCTCTATTAAATTGGTGTATAGCTGTAATAATAAACGTTTTTATTGTGTCATATAGGTATTTACGGCCATGGAGCCGTCTTTGGTTCCATCCTTGGTGGCGCAATCAATAAATTACCATGGTCAACAGTTACAAAAATCTTGGGAAAATGAGCGAGGCGAAGACGATTTGGCCAAGATTGGCGTTGGAAATTTGGACTTCGCAGTTTTTCAGTCCCGGCATAAACAACTCACGTTTCAAGACAGGGCAAAACGGTTGAAACTTCATCAGTTTATTGCTAAAGAAGCAAATGCCCTCTTTGATGCTTCTTTATTGGAAGAAGCACCATCGTCTTCTAACATAGGGTTAGAAGCTACGACACCTGAAGATAGTAAGTATTATGTGTCTTATTTGTTTTCTATTTATACAATTCAATGATGTCACCACACTGCACTGCCCACACAATTTATGCGTTACACTGGTTTGAACCTGCAATCTCTTATTACAAATAAATACATTATTGCCTTAGCCCCATATTAGAACAATCACATCACATAGTTTATAAAAAATTTTGTAAAGAAATATGCTTCAAAGAATTACCGTTTAACTTGAAATTGAAGTGACGACTTTACTGATATATTAAGAGTATAATTCTTGACACCTTGTTTTAGATTTGTATGCCTTAATGCCACCGTTTGAAACATTCCTGAAAGTTGATAAGTCTGCAAGGCTGAGACATTTTTTTGATGTAAGTACATAATTGTAATTGGGGTGTATGAACTGATAATATTATTCATGCAATGATTGACTGTATTTATGCTCTATTTGTACTATTTTATTATTTTCTAATCGTGACACTGATGATGAAGGCTGGGTGATGATCAGTCCACATAATTTGCTGACTATTTTGCCCATTTCCTTATTAATTTCTTCATAACAATTATAATTGATTATTTCGATTTAATTCAGCTGTTTGGTGTCCACTGCTGGACATAGGCTTACCCCATAGATCTCTAGTACGACCTGTCGTTGGCTAGTTGAATATATTATATTTGATTATGATATTTATTCATTACAAATAACATTTTTTATAGTCCTTTTAATTTGTAACAACGTTAACTTGAAGACTTAATTAATTAATGATTATTATGTTTTACTAAAAGGTTACATAATTATATGTGTTAACCAATTTTGTTTTAGAATGTGAAAACAGGAGAACTCATAATTGGTGCAGTAATCAACAGAACAGCGTCTGGCATGATGCTGAAAGTGCTCTGCACTGCAGGCCCAACATCAAGATATGTGGCTGATATCAATGTAAAGGTAAATAAATTTAAAAATTAAACTTTACCAGTTGTTTTAATAATATGTGTAAGTGTATTTTTTATGTATATTTGTTTATTTAAATAAAAATATGTATTTACCTACTTAATTTTGAAAATTAATGTCTATACGTAATGTTGTTAAAATTGATTTAAACTTCTAGATCTATCATCTAAGAGTTTCAAATATTATTATTACTTGATTTCATAAAAATATTTCTTGTATTTAACATTAAATTGTATACAATTTGTTTTGACAGGCATTTTTACCAGTATCCAATATTATACCAGCTGTTGACAAGAAAAATGTCTCAAGAAGCTACTTAATGAATGACACTGTCTGCTGTGAAGTGATTGAAGTTATTCCCGACACGGACAAAATGGTCTGCGGCATGAAGGGAGTTACTCGGGGCCCGGATGATCCACCACCAAAGCCTCCACTTGGCCTTCTCAGCACGGATGACTTCCCATTGATCTACAAGTATGTATTTATCTTTTAATACTTGCTAACAATCAGTTTCATACACTTGCAGGTGTTAGATCACAGCTTTTTTGTTACTTTTCTGGTATGAAGATGTTGAAGATACCAATTTGTACTGAAGAAGAGAAGAATATTTTAAAGTCATATATCAAGTTATTGTAATTCAAGTGGAAGTCCCATGCTTTGACTGGAAGTCACATATTATTTGGGTGACGTCTTCAATGCTTATTGTGCAGCAGTGTGGATATGTGTATCACGATTTTTGAACGCTTTTCAGTTTTAAAACACACTTTACACAAATATTATGAAAAACTCAGCACATTTCTAGTGGTTTGTTATTTTAAAAAGGATAACTCGACACTCCAATGAAGCCGTATTCAAGTTTTATGTAGAGGATTGTTTTTTTTTATTTTGAAATAAATTGAAGTGTCAAGGTCAGTACACGAAACTAGGGCCATATATGACTATGAAAGGGACCCTTGTTATTCTGTATTAAAGCTAATGTTTAACATTGCAGCATATTATCAAACCATTGATTGGACTTAATTGTAATCAGCATTCGTTGGATGTCGGCGTTATTTAATTATTATCAAATAAGGAACATTACCAGGCAATTCCTTTTAAAATGCAGGATTTGGAATGGATAAATATTTTGTGTGCGGGAGCGAGCCCGTTTTTGTATGAGGAATGGCAAATACAGCATACGGCGACGATTCCATTATTTTAGGGTGTTTTTTTCTAGGTTTAGCACGAGCCCCAAATATCTATACTCATGTTGTACTGTGACAATAGCTGAATATTCCGGTAATATTAACGTCACATAGTTGAGGCGACATCACCTATCCTATGACTATTTGTGTGTGAAAGCAATAAATACGAGTTAAATAAATTTTTTGAACAGCTTCATGGAACAGGTGAGGATAAGTATGTGTGACATTAATGACTGACTGGTAGGCTATCATTGAGATTACATTAACATTAAATTCAACCAGTGTTGCAGTCAAACGTAATGGCACTGTCAGATAAAAGAATGGCATTACTTAGGCTTAACTCTAATTTTATTAATATGCGCTTTTGTGCTAGGAAAACCATGGAAATGAAGGGCGAAAGGTATGAAGCAATTTTAGAGAAGAGTCCCGGCTTCAATAACCCTAACTGCGTACAGTATCTGTCCAATCTCCTGGGTATCTCCAACATGCATTGCACTAACTTCATGTCACTAAGGTAATTTAACAATTTTGTATGAAATAACCCTCTTTGAATCTTACTAAACAGTAATTTGAAAAATAGCATACAAGGAGGTGTCATTATTTTCTTTAAATTATTTCTGTTTTGTTTTAAATATGGAATATTTTTATTCGACTCCAGATGCTGAGGCATATTTATGCACATTTTGCTCAAAAAGATAATTTTTACAGAGGAGGCTTCCCATCTACGGAATTAGCGGATGAATTACGACAAGCACAAGCAAGTAAATGGGCGTTCCGCTCAGTCGCAGAAGGTATAGAACATTTTAAAGCTGGACGTCACTCTGAAGCATTCCAATGCCTTAACAAAGCCTTAAGTATCGATCCGAGAAACGTTGAAGGATTAGTAGCGAGAGGAGCCCTGTACGCTAACAGTGGAACATTCAAGAAGGCCATTGAGGACTTTGAAACCTCATTAAAGTTGAATCCGAATCACGCAAACGCTAGAAAATATTTAGGAGAGACATTAGTTGCTCTAGGAAGAAGCTATGAAGACGAAAATAAAATCGCAGAAGCGCAGAAGGCTTACGAAGATTGTTTAGCCATCATACCATTCCACGAGGAAGCTCAGAACTCACTAGATTTCTTGAAGAGCAAGACGTCCACATCTAAGCCACTAATAGAACCCACAGAACTGCTTCTACCTGGCCTAACAGGTGCAAAGTCGTTTGAAATGAAAGAGACGTTGAAACAGTTGTTGAATCTCACTGAGAAGAAGGATAAGAAGAAGAAGAAGAAACGCGGTAAAGGAAAAAAGAAGCGATCGAGTAGTTCATCTTCGTCGTCGAGTGATTCTAGCAGTTCTAGTGATTCGTCGGAGTCGTCGTCGTCATCCTCTGATTCAAGTGGTATTATACTTATTATTACAATGTAACATGGTAGCTCAAGATGTAAGATGTCCCGGGTTAAACGCCCGTCAGTGTCATCTTTAACTTAATTTATTTATTTCTTAGTTAAATGAGCTACATGTAATGCCAACTACCAATTATAGATGTGTATATTTTATTTATACAACTATATAGTTGTTCAATTTATAAGGTTAAAATCAATCTATTCCTTGGAAAGAAAAGACCTCTTCAATATCTATGACACTATAAAATAACAAGATTTATTTTTGAGAGTTAGTTGTGTTTATCAATTTATTGTGAAACAGATTCCGAAGGTCCTAACCGCAAGAAGAAGCGTCGTTCTCATTCCAACAACAAACGGCAACGTTCCTTATCACCGCTAAGCAAGCGTATGGCAATGATTGGTGATGGGGACTCGGCGTCAAGGACCCACAATTCGCAATTTAACCATCCCTATGGGTATCAGCAACCACCACCACCCACTGAAGAACCTCCACCGATGAGATCGCAAGCAGATATCGACCATGAATTAAAGGTATTTCTGGCAATAAAATGTATATGAAATGTATAACCTGCTTAATTGGAAAACTGGATTATTGGAAACCCTTAATGATTGGTCCCTTAAGATCCAAATTAATCCGGTATCACAGTATTTGCTCGATTATTTGGTAATACCCCATATAATTAATATTTTGAAAATTCTAGGTGCGCAAATTCTTAGAAATGACCAAAGAAGACTCCGACTACGAGGAGAAAGTACGCAACTTCTTGGAGGAAGCAGCTCAATATAAGCGCAATCGTAAGATGCAAGAACTAGGCCAGCAGCCGCAGCCGTCTGCTGATCATGACAAGAAGAAGAAGAAAAAGAAGGACAAGTATGTGTTTTACAGGATTTTAGGTTTGATAGAACAGTTATGTATAGTTATGATAATATTCATATGAATATAGTCATGAATCATATCTTTTTTTACCCATATGGGTACAGTTAATTGCCCATATGTAACTTAGGCACTAGAACAATAGGGAACTTAACCCTTATGTTATTGGTTTATTAATTTTGACGATTTCTTATAGGAAAAAGAAGAAGGAGTCCAAGCGAAAACGGAAAGAACAAGAGAGAGAAGAAAAAAGGAAGTCGAAATTGGCTCGTATGGCCAGCAACTCTGAGTACAGTCTCCGCGACTTGGAGACAATTGGCGACAAAAAGCTTAGAGATGCTATAAGGTAGATATAATATTAAGAAATCACCAGTAAAATTTTGTTATAAGTAGTTATACATTTTGAAATGACCATTTTGTTGTTTTGTGTTACAGGAAGGAATTAAAAGGAAAATCCAAACGCGATTTAAGCTCAGATGGGGAATATGACAGAAAACATGATAAGAGGTAACTAAACTCATAAAACATATATTTAAATATATATTAAAATTAAGGGGCCATGGCCTTGAGAAACAAGATTTATGAAGAGATATTAATTATTATTTCTCTAGTCTTAGATATTATAACAATATTTTAACATTTTGTCTGTTTAAATGTTGCTTGTATATTAAAATAAGTGTTATTAGTATATATATTTTTTTAATTTATGCATAATTTAACAGCCGTATGTTGGATGATATGCATGGCTTAGAAGAATTGGAGTGTAAGCTGAATGCGTACCACTCTATGGTGGAGAAGGAAGTGCTGGGCAAGCGGGACCGCTCATCAATCAGCCCGATAGATCAAGCTCCACCTCCCCCCCTTGAGAAACCAAAGTGGAAGATGACTATGGGTGCTGTTAAAGAACCGTAAGAGTTTTTATCAAAATATGTAGTGATCTCTCTGAAGTGATTTCAGTACTTAAAATGTTTGTTGAATGTTAAATTTCTACTTTATTTACCTTCTTAGTATTTCTTACTTCTTTCTACGTCAACTGCCATTAATGTATTTTTAAATTACATTATTGTTTTGTAAAATTAAGCCAAGCTAAGTAGGTAGCAGTTTATGTAGGAGCACACACCACACACACCACCCACAAACACTCACACAATCCCCCTTGCGCGCTCATGCTTACATTAACATGTTTTTTAAGAAACCTAAGGTAACTATTGCTTATGTAATAACAATATTTACTTTTTCAGCTCACTCACAAATAATAAAAAATATTCTACTTACTTGAATTACATAGGAACGAAATATTCATTTAAATTTTTTTTCAGTACTAAGAAGAAGGAAACTCCCACGCAGAAAGGGTATAAAGAACGCTATGCTTTTGAAGACAGCTCAGACGATTCCCAAGATCAATCAAAGGTATTGTGTTATATAAGTTTAAATAAAACACTTTAACGATTAAAAACGCGATATATTAGTTAAACTTATTTGAACCATGGGTGCTCTAAGTGTTAGTGTTTTATTTAAATGTGTACTACTCGCGTAAAGTCGCTATAGACAGTATTTAATATATAAATTGTTAATTGATCAATAATTACATCTTGAATAAGTGTTGGTATGAGCATTACTGAATTGCATGAATGAATTCGATTGTATACAATATACAGGCCTCTCCCGGTGAAAAGAGTGTGTCTGTACGGCGGGCAATGGCTATGAAGGAGCCACCGCCGCTGCCGAACGCACCACCACCGAAGAGCCGCGAACCAGACCCGCCAGGTGTTGACATTCCACATGTGTCCCACCATCCACATCACCCGCCGGTACTACTTTTATTATGATTGATATGTCAAATCAGTAACAAAAAATACTCTGACAGTCTTTGAGCTAGGCGTATTTCCAGCAGTGGACACTGAAAGCTGAAAACTAAACTATGTTTATACTGAAATATTTACCTGTATTTTCTATAATTATATTATTGAAGTTCTTTTATATTTTGTCATCATGCTTTAACTTGCATTTTGCAGCCTGTTCGCAAAGGTCAAGTTGTGCTCGACAAGTTTGGTTCGTTCCGCCTCGCGAAAGAAGGAGAAACCCCGGTGTCTGTTGGGGAACAGCGCCCAGAGCAATTCGTGACGAGGATCAAACCGCCTTCACCGACATCAAGGAGGCCGCGATCGCCCCCCTCCCCGCACAGACGAAGTGTATCCCGCTCTTCGGATCGATCTAAACGATCACGAAGCAGGTGGGCCGTGTATTTGAAATACCTCTGTTTTTACATGATCATTTACTTAGATATTCCGAAATCTATTAATATATGCTTACATAATGATACATTTTATTGTAATTTTACCAGACTCTGTTCCCAACTCTAATTCTCATAAAATGCCTCCATTAGATCGCGCCCGCGCAAGTACCGGTCCCGCTCCGGGTCGCGTTCAAGATCCGGGTCAACTGGAAGCGGATCGATGGGCTCCCGTCGTCGTCGATCAGGCTCGCCCAGATCTCGTTCCCGCTCTGATGCAAGTCGGTCATACTATTCGCGTAGCCGTTCCCGTTCACGATCCGTTTCGAGGGACAGGTAAGATTGTCTAATTATACTGGCTTTCTGGCCAGTTGGACTAGATCTGTAGTTCCGTAAGAGAATAATTGCCTTAATCGCGAAGATCCTGGGTTCGAATTCTGGGTAAACAGTAGAGGATTTTGGTCGTGCAGGGCACATTAGTCATGTTTTGTGTGAAAAATTATGTTCGCCCAATGCCCCAAGAGGGTAAATCGGATTTCACTCTATAGGTTTTACTCAAAAATGTGATGGGAAACTTAAAAAAACCTTTAAGTTTAGCATCTTTTATATCAGGGTGACTGTTTTGCACTAAAGCTTAATTTGTAAGTACAGTTTTCATCTGTGTACCCAATAATAAAAATATATCGCGACCAGGATGAACCGTCGCTTCAACCGCCGTGGAAATTGGCGCGGTCGCGGGGGTTACGAACGTGGTACGTACTACCGGCCACGTTTTAACGCGTACAATGGCGGTGGACGTGGTCGAGGTCGTGGAGATTTTCGTCGTGATGACGGACGCCGTTTCAATCCTGAGTGGCGGGACAACCGCTCCAGAGGTGGTCGGCCCTTCAGACCACGTAGAGGTGGTGGTGGCCGCGGTAGACCGTTCAGGTATGAGTTGCAAATTTTGGAGAAACTGAGTTGAATAATTAGAAGGGTTTGAATTTTTATGGCCCCTTTGGTTTAAGAGCTTATATTGTGTCTTTATTATGTATTACATCATAAGACATAGTAAAAAACAAAGACAAAGTCAAATATCGTTTATTCATGTAGGTTCGCACGCTTTTGAACGTCACAGAACTAATGAATCTAACTTTACATTTACTACCCTGTTCTCAAATCAAGGGCGTAGAACGAACGCGAAGAACTGGCAATAAACGCGAAGACATGAAACAGTCTTCTTGAAATTACAAAGCTTACATAAATAATCGATTTTAGATTGAAAAAAAAATTACAACACGGGCGGTATTTGAACCGGCTTCCACAGCGTTCCATTCAGTTGCTATAACCATTTGTGCTACCGTGTCGAAGGTAAGAAGTGCCACTATTATACTAATGATGATAATTATGCTTGGTTTGCAGAGGTGGTTTCCGCGACTTCCGTGATAGACGCGGAGGGAGGTATTCACGCTCGCGCAGCCCTGACCGCACACGCCGCTCAAGGTCCTACAGCCCAGAAAGGAGAGACAAGGACAGGGATAGGTATGCATCTCATCTTATCACATGTTATCGAATTTCCTATTTTGAAACCTCTTATACGTATTCAATCAAATGGAGCCAAATTTTGTTTGTCAAATTTTATAAAAAAAAGTAAATTAGTCTTAGATCTAGGAAATGAAAAATAATGTATCCTACAGCTATTCTCGTTATTCTGAACGTGACAGCCACCGCAGTGAAGGAGAGTATGAGGAAGAGAGATTCGTCGACAGGAAGGAGTATGATGGGAAATGGGCAGACGAGCATGCAACGGAACCGGAAAGAAACCACGCTGAGGAGCAGCCAGAACCTCCGCCGCCAAAGGAATAGATGCCATAGTAATAAGTCTATAGAATATACAGCGTAGTTGAGGTAGTCACATAACTGTAACCTTTGTGTTATTAACTTACACTTAACCTGTAACAATGTTATATAAAAGTACATAGATTGTAGAATTGGCAATGGCATTTTTTTACATAGGACTAATTTTTTTGTATATGCACACTATCACCAATCAATTAAAAATGTACTAGTAACAATATTTGTCCCTAGATTAGAATTATCGTTTTCAATATTACAATGCCTTAGTTGGTTTTTGTTTAATTGTATCTTTAACAAAACCTTCATTCCAATTATTAGGTCTATTATTTGATAGACATTATGTGATTTGACAAAAATTAAACATTTAAAAAAGCCATATCTTTAATTTATAAACATTAACTTGGTCATGTAGAATTTCTTCTCAATTTAAAGTTTTTCCTCATGAAGTATTGATTATTTATATAGTATGAACATGTTCAGCACAAGCTGTTAGATAGTGGTATTTTTTTTATCTTTGTAAACAAAATTAGTCTGTTTACAGACAGAATAAAAATACTCCATGTGATTTTACAATTGACTCAAATATCAAAGAAAGAAGGTATTATTAATAAATATGATTTATTGTTCTTAAAATAGGCAACTTATGTGCGTTTCTTCTTTTTGTTCTTATTCTTAGAAGATGTTGATTTATCAGCATTCCAATACCAAAATAGTTGGAATACTAATGCCCCATTAGCCACAGTCGACACACAATATGTTAATATGATGATTTGGTCCCCTGTTTCCTGAATGGAGGTGAATATTCTTGCAACACTGCCAGCAAATAGCAGGAAACAAGTTACAGCAGATAACTGTCCGGTACTACCGTTCCTGTAGTTGGTTATCACTTGAATTGCCTGAAAAAAGATTACTCACTTTGATAGACATGTGTGGCATAGATATTAATCGAGATGAAGGGGATAAAAATAACAACAAAAGTATGATAATGTTTATCTTGGCAAGTTAAAACGAATACTTATTCTGAAGTGTCTGAGGCCTATATTAAAATTTCACAGTTTCATTTTCTTTAGAGTTGTCATTATAATTATTATTATTAATAAGACAAACAATATTGAAATGTTTGTAATTGTAATAAAATAAAATTTTTAGAGAAGCCCTTTTTAAAATTTCTGTCTGGTTATACTATCAATATTTTTGAAGAATAATAAATATGATTTGAACAATAAAATAAGTAGACATGACCCACCTTTGCTACCACTATAATAGGAACATTAACTGCTTGCATATTCCACAAGACATTGACTGGGGTGAACCCACTAACCAGTGTTGAAACTAAAGCGGGGTATGCAGAGAGGAATATTCCAGCTTGCATTGGAGACCCTCCATAATGCAATACCAGTGCTGCAATAATTGCTGTTTGGAGAGCTAGAAATGTTCCTTCGCCCCATGCACTAGAATCAATAGAAGTTATCAATTACTTCTGCAGAGGTGTATTGTTCTAGAATAGTGGTATGTGAACCAATACACATTTAAATAAACTTTTTAAGGAGGTGAATTGAAAGGCATAGAAAACTCATTAACCTTGTACAATATTAAAAAACTATAGTCCACAAAATGCATGCCATTTCTCTTTTTACCTGAATGGAAATTTCATAACATAGCTGTAAGTGAAATTCGCAGTTATAGCAAAAAGTTCCAAATACACTCCATAAATGTTGATCCCCTTAGCGCTCTTGCTGCCAAGGATTTTGAGAATTTGGGGAACTTTCACCAAAATCGATCCAGCAATGATACCAATCCCAAGACCCTTGCTCAGGGTACTTTTAAAACATGGTTCTAAAACAAAATTGGAGCTTTGGAGACATTGTAAACATTATATAAAGCCGATCGATAAGACTGGAAGCGTAACACTTACCATCCAAAAAGTTATACTTCACAAAATATTCGCTATAACATTTTTCGGATAGGACCGATAGTAATAGTCCCTTTAAAAAATCTCCCATCTCGAGGTGTTTGCGATATTAAATAATTTAATCACACCGTTAGAAATATCATTGAATAGACACTGAAGATATATTCCCAAGACGTAATTCCACGAGTTTCTAGAACAATTTTCCTTTTAATTATTTAATTATTCCATTTTTCATAGAAAACTGTTTTTTTAATTTATCTCATTACAAAATACAAAGTTCATCAACCTTTGAAATTGAATTTGTTGAATGCGTTCTGATGACGTTGAGCGACGTGTTTCTTTTGAAGTTGACAATTTGCTTCCGCGTTTTAAAGAATGTTGTTCGTCTTGTGCTATTTAACGATCCGCATAACACTCATTCGCTGGAAAGAACAATGGCCAAATTTTTATAGGGACTGTACCTGACTTAAAAATTTTCGCGACCAGTAGCAAATCATAAAGGGTTTTATTTACTTCGTATAAAAAACTGCCCTGAACGAAAATAACTGATTTTTTTATATATAACACAAATGGTATGGCTATTGTTCTTTGAAATGGCTACATCGTATTTTCAGGAAAAGTTCAAGCTAAGAGTTAGTTCCTTAGTCATATAAATGTTTAACTTTCGATTCTTAAACGCTTTTTAATTGGCCTTCAAAGAATACGGAAATAGGCACTTTTTAAATATTTGACCCAGGATATTTAAATCGCAACCATTATTCTATAAAACTTTAGTGAAATTTTATAGAAATACTAATACATATTTGTTTTTTTTTGTTACATGTCAAGAAAGAATAAAATATATAAATATAATGTGCTATGAACAAGTAAAACAGCCATAAATTGAGAATGAATTTATTGAAATGAATATTCTGTTAGCTGTTTAACATCTTTCACACGCGCTTTCTAAATTATATTACTAAAGTTATAACGAAACATAATTAAAATGAATTGAATTCCTTGGAAAATAAAGGATAACTTATGTTTTCCCTAACAGTTTTAGTTTTCTGTAAGAGCTTACAAATGTAATTTAGAATTAAACGCAATAATATCTGTTCAAACTTTTAGACTGAATACGGAATACCTCAACTTCCTGGGGAGATCATAAACACAATATACAAGCGACTGAAAAGCCGCTAGAGGCAGAGTAGCCTAACCGTAATTTTATGACTTGACTTATTTTTATAGTCTAAAAATGTTAATCTACAAGAGCACAGTGAAAGAAAATTGTTAACATAATTCTTTACCTAATAATAGTACAAATTCATTATAGCCTAAAATAATTGTGCATTTTTATTTGCCTCCTTATTAAAAACCATGTATTTTATTAACAACACATTAAAATATAACATTAGTGTTATATTTTAATATATCTCGTTTTAAACCGTTAGCGGTTTAAAACGAGATATATTAGTTAAATTTATTTGAAAATGACTTTTAACTTCGGCCCCACGATCTCCCCGTGACCGCGTTTTAAACAGTTAGTGTTTAATTTACATGTATTTTGTTTTTAGGCCACTCTGGCTCTGGCAGCCTCAAATATGAAAGGTATTTTTATGACATTTGAATATTCAAAATTTAAATTCCGTTTCCCGCCTGGTTCTCAGTTTGCTTCCGTTTTACTGCTTCCTTTAATTATAGACGAGTAGTTAATGAGACGCCCTACCCAACTAAAATAATGTGTTTGGAGTATTTTTTCTTAAATGTCTGTTGTTTTGTTCGTTTTTATATAAGCAACATATTGTAAGTTTTCGTCACATACTTTGTCAGTTTACATGTCAGATATTGCAAATAAAGTTGTTCTAGCCTTATGGATTATGTTTTAAAATAAAGACATCATAATGACTTGTGTGATGCTATTGTTGACAGAATTGATTTAGCAAGAACCGTAAAAGAAAGCTTTTCAGGACATCTATGTTAGCTATTATTATATCTAATTACAAGGTATCAATGCTAACACGGAGTTACAACAGGCCAAGTGTTCGTGATAAGAAACTATGGTAATTATATCTAACCCTAACATGTCTTACAATATATTTACAAGCCCCAAAGAACACATGAAAGAAAAAAAATAACAAAAAAAATTTTGATATACTTATAAATGCATAGATGTAAGTATATGGAAAGTGTCTGATTTAAGATGTATTGTTTTCACCTATCAGAGGGGTTTCAAAGAGAATGAGAGTTTGGGCCTAGAGTTGTTTTTCCCTAAAATTTTCTTTTGTTCTTCTTTCACACGCTTCTCTTGTTCTTTTTTGAGCTTCTGCCTTTCCTCATCCATCTTTCTTTGTTCTTCAATCATTGCGAGTCTTTCTTCGGCCTGGAAAACAGTATTTCACATTTAAATACTAATAAAATTAAATGCTAGGGGCTACTGGTAATGTTGTATGAAAACAATACACCAATGGGATGTAACAAGCTTTTATTAAGATTATTTTTGATTTTTATTAATAAAGTAAGTATACTGACCAACTTGCGCTGTGCCTCTTCAATCTTTCTATTATTTTCAGCCATGATATCAGCCAACTCTTTCCTTTTACGTTCCTCTTCCGCCTGTATAATAAAAACGGAATGTTAATGTCTACTTAAGCACTGTCTCGTTGTCACAAATTGTACACATCTACATTATTCCTAAACCTATCACTCTGATTCATTAATATGTTGCATGACTATAATGTCATTTCGTAGTCACTATAATGAGGAAGTCTAAAGATTTTTTACAATTTATCTCTTCGATCAACTTATATTTTGTTTTTAAAATAGTGTTGTAACAAAATATGTCGTTGAGAATACATATAATTTTGTTTACATAATCCTTTAGTAGCATGAAACAAAGAATTGTTATACAAAAAATAGATCAAAAAATACCTTCGGCTTCAGGGGTGGATCCACAAGCTGCGACTCCTTTAAATTCTTACGGCATCACGTCTTGCAGTCTTCTGACCTGACTTATAGACTACGTGACTGCCGAGGACAGTCAAGCGAACAAATTTAAAATGCTAGCCGGTAGCCTCGAAGGCATTCTCATAATTTATCATTTTAGAGTCTGTTCGAACGTGCGTATATAAGGATTGCCACCCACAAGTCTGGATAGAATGACCACTAACATATTTTCTATTAAATATTAGGGTCTGGCGATGTTTTATTTAAACAGGGCATTTTTGGAAATAACACTTGTTAACACAACGTCTAACAGTCAATGGATGGAGTTATTACCGTGATTCACAAGGGTGACAATCCTTAATGTGTTACTAAAGTCATGTTTAATGATAGACATGAAAATTTTAAATTCTTGTAAACTCGAACTACACCTGACAGGACCTTTAACAGATATGATCGAAAGACTAATTAGTTTGCAGATAATATTTTGTATTCACAATGAGGTAGGTACATATGTTTGGGCTGCAAGAGCAATTCGGTTTAGCGGGTGTCACATGTAACAGCAATGATGTACAACATTGCTTTTACACATGACTGGTAGACAATAGTTTCAGTTACCTGACGAGCAATTTCCTCGCGTTTCTGTTGTTCACGCTGTTTTTCTAGTTCTTGCATCATCTCATGTTCCATTTTTCTCTTGGCTTCTTCGACTCTTTTAGCCACTTCTCTTTCTATTTCATCTTTTCTTTTTTCGAGTTCCTCTTCTACTCTTTTCTTTACTAAAAGTTCTATTCTCTTAGCAGCTTCCTCTTCAACTACCTATATTGTTAAAATAAAATAAAAACCTTTAACATTTATAAGGTATGTTTCTAATTTCGCCTTCACGAATCACTATTATATATTTATGAATTCGGAAAGCAATTATTACAGCATGAATTGTGTTCATTATTTCGCGTTTAAGGCCCGCATATTTTACCTTTTGTTCCGCTTCTCTCACACGTCTTTGTCTCTCCATCTCTGCAAGACGATCCACTTCGTCCATTTTACTGCGGCACTTGGACTTTTTTCTATTTCTACTACCATCGTATGAACCATCAGTGCTTGAATTTGATGACACAGAATGAGATCTTTTCCTGTAAATCGTATAAATTATAGTACGTAAATAATAATTTCCGTAATACAATTAGGTTATTATCCGTATATATTTATGGGTAAATACCGTGACTTGGAATTCCGCTCCCTCGACTTTTCGGCGTGTTTTGTACTCCTACTTCGTGAAGAGGATCTGTCCTTTGATCGACTTTTCTTCCTCGAGTGTTTACTGCTTTTGTGGTGCCTTCGAGGAGATTTACTTCTTGATCTAGATCGTCCCATTTTCATGCAGATATTGTATATTTTAATAAGTAACGCTAAATTATGATAACAGCACACTCTCCATATTTTTTTATAACAACGCCACAGACAAGGACAACGCCTTTTAAGTTTGAAAAATAGTAGATACTAGTACTCGCAATTATCAAATGGCGATGCGAAACCATAGACAATTATTAATGCGATAGCAACATCAGTAAAATATTATACTTGTGTCGGTGAAAAGAAAATTATGAAACTATTTAGAAAATGGGTTATTAATAATACGTAAAAAAGAATAAAGGTATATTATAGGTATATTTTTCTCACTGATTTGTAAAATCACTTTAGGTATTCTTTCTCTTTGTCTTTTATGAAGGATATTAGTTTAGATGCAGCTAATAACATAGAGTCGTTTTGATGAAGATTGAATACGTCGTTTTCTTCGGGGACCTTGTTTTTTAGGAGCAAAGTTTCTGCAACTGTTGGATTTAACAGGAGCGTTTTCTTCTGATGATTGTAAAAATCAATATAACTTGCCTTTCCGTAAGGTCCATCATCGAGTTTACTGAAGCTAAACGAGTATTTTAAGCTGGAACTGCAGTAGTGACTCACAGATTGCTTCAGAAATGTCTCAAGATCAGTAACACTGTATACATTTTGTATTGCCACTTCAGAATCCCGAGTGATGGCAGATTTTTCGTCAATCTTTCCAATATTCTTGGAACTTAGACTTTCTGTAACATCAAGATCTTCAGATGTCTGGTTGGTTATATCGGCTTCAGGACTCATTTCATTTTCTGATAAAGTACTGTGTGTACATGCTTCATCATTCCTTTTAAGATTATGGGTTGAACCATCAGGTTGTACCATAACCGTGTCTTCTGTGTCGTAGAAACGCTTCAGCTTTTTGAGAATTGCCTCTACGTCTTGTTCCGTTCCAATTTCAGGGTCGTCAAAGGATTCTTTGAGTTCGATAGCACCTCTATAGAAGTAGTCGTTTGGAAGAGAGTACCCTCGTACTGTTAATTCCGTTGCATTGCCATATTTCGGAGGTGTCATGAGTTGCTTGTATATACATTCAAAGTCTCCCGTTGGTGCCTTTGAATCATTGGCGTAATCAATAACAACTGTAATATGATAGAATATTACAGTTAGAAAATAAAATGGTTTTATAGCATCGGTTACAAAAACATATGTAAAGTTTGAGGAAGTAGTAAAATTGGTACCTTTAATTATGTCTGACACCACGGCTGGACATATCTTTGCCGTGACTTGTGTTGTACTATTTAGGTCGGGACATGAATTGATTTCAATTAACCAGGGTTTATATTCTTTGTCCAGAATGAAATCACAGCCATATAACTCGAAACGATTTTTGCATACGGATAACGAGTCTTGACAGCTCAACATGATGCCAATAATCGATTTTTTCATTCCGGGATAGATAATGAAATTCCATACATCGTCTTTTCCGATACTTTTTAAATAACACTTATATCTTTCTAAATCCCACATATTTTGTTTTGGCAGCTCAGCGTGGCGTTCTTTGCAATTGTGATATTTCTTCTGCACTGCATTATTTGTAAGATGGATTGATTCGTGATAATTCTTAAGACTATACCTCTGAGAACTGAATTTTAAGTAACAATCCATATACATCCATATTGTTAAAGGATACGTGCTCGTAACTAAGTAGTATTGTCGGATATCGAATTTTGTGTCATGTATGAGCAAGGGTTCTTCTGAAAAAGCAATGAAAAATTGAACGTGTCGACAATTGTAAGTTGGATAGGGATGTATGTGGTACTTACCAATATATTTTTGGATAACATGTTTCGTGTTTGCCTTGTTTAGTAAATTGGTAATCACACCCAACTTGGATGCCATCCTAATGCCTCTTCCTCGAGAGCAGTGAGCAGGTTTTATAATCCAAATATTATGACACCCTTCACAACTTAACTGGGGCCTATATTTATGAATCTCCTTTAACAAATATTTTGCGTAGCTCAAGTATAATGGTAATTTCTTAATTCTATCTGTACAAAATACTTCGTCTTTTGCAATGATACAATAGTACTTTTTTAAAAATGAGTTCCATTGCCCATCGCTTATGACATTTAATTCTCGGTCGATGTCTTTATTTTGTTTCCTAAATAAATATTCTTTGCATCTATTCAGTGCAAAAACAACTACGTTTATAGATATTCTTCCATTTTTTATGAATATGGGTCTCTCATTTGCTACCATAGAGAGAATCCATTTTAATAAACTGGTGCAAGCTGTAATTTTATAATCTTTTATAAACCCTTCAATTTCACCAGGTTCTGGTGTATTGTAGGACCGTGGACCGTTCACCTCTGCTACGCCATCTATATAAAACCAATAATTTCTCTTCATAGAAGAACAGAGGCCTTGTTTGGACGTCCATAAGGTATCAACTTCCAATTTATTAATCATCCTGGCATAATCTTTAGTCATGTCTATAGTTGTGTCGCGTCTTTCGTCTCGCGTTCGCCATACGAAATTTGGGTTATATTTTTCTACAAAATTTGACAACAGCAGCCTCTCAAGCTCATACTGTATTTCGCATTTATTTGAGTAAACGCCATTGCGAATTTTAGTTAAATTCATACGATTCAGAGGCAGCTTTTCTACCCACCCTCGTTCTAATAACGCTTTTCTTACAGCGTTGCAGCTGCCGTGTATAGAAAATATTTTGGATTCTTGAATGGCTTCGGCGGCTTTTTGTTTTAATTTTGCGTACTTATGGGACCTCGCTTGGCAACTGCATATCAAATAACTTTTCTCCTTTGGCGAGAGACCCAGAGGATACGATGTTTTTGATTTGTCCATTTGCCTTACTCTTTTTTGACCAAATTTATGGAATGGAGAATATATTCGTTTTATACCACTTTTATCATAAAGTTTCTGGAATACATTTTAATAAAAATAATGATGTTACCTTATGAAATGTGTTAATTTTAAATTACCTTGATAAGTCTAGGTCCTGAAGCGCTGATGACATTTTTTACAGTTGTAGCCTTTACTTGATATTTGGGCAGTGTCACTGAACCACATATTTTCTAAAAAGTAAATTGGAGAGCGAATAATTCTAATGTAGTAATAGCTCTGAGCCAACAAACGTTGTATTCTCCATTACCCTTTTCCTTTTAGCATATTTCTTTTTTCCGAGTGGCATTTTTAGTAAGCATAGTTAAAAAAAACCTGTTTAACTTTACCAATTTTATATATGTTTTTACTTCCCTTATTTCAGTTACAACTAGAAAATCTTTTTAGGTTGTGAAAAAATCATTCGATGCCGCGGATTTTTATTTATTGTGTAAGGATGTAAGTAAATAACAATGCACTTTTTAAATTTTACATTATTTTTATGTTTTTATTCATTACAAAAATTACATTTTTGACAACGTCATAATTTTACATTAATTGTATGACAGTCTTCATTTGAATCATGGCATCTCTGATGTATTTTTTTTATTGAGGAAGTAGGAAATCCTGGAAACATGGGTAATTGGGAAGTATAGATACATAAATCACAACTTTCTATAAAAGACAGTTTATTTTAAAAGTACAGTTTTTCGACTTTGAACGAAGGAAATAACACAGTAATAGACTTTTTAATTTAGCAACAATATTTAAAATCCCTAAGAACTTTAACAAAATTGAACACTTAGGTAGTAGATATTATTCGTCGTTATTTGGGGAAAGAACAACCCTGTATGGGGCAAACGTTGAAGCACAACTTTTTGGGACACTCATGTGCTTATGTCTATTCTGTTTCTCGTCTTGCAACTTACAAATGCTTTTCCCTATAGCGCTTAGCTTTTTTATTGGATTCGAATCGTTTTCCTGTCGCAGGCCTATGGGTTCTAAATGTGGTTTCCCATTTGTACTTGTCCCTGATTTCGACTGTCTTACTGACCCTACTTCTATCCGACTTGTCATTTTATTTTGGATTGAAATCGTCGATCGCAATATACTAGCTGTCTCCCGTTCCCACTCTATCGGATCTATGTAACAACGTTTATTACCAACAGACCTGTCAATCTTTGGTTTTTCAGATTTCTTCGCTGACTCTGTTCTATATTTCGTTATTTGACTGTCACATTGGCTAACTTCGGGTCGACAGCACGAGTGAGGTTTGACGCGTCGTTTAGATTCGGAATTTTTTTCGCGTCTTCCTCGATGTGTCCTACAAGAGAGCGCGGACGATTTACGCTTTTTTGATGCATTTTTAAATACTATACTCGAATTCACAACACTAACTGCTTGGCGTACCGTGAGGGACTCCTTGGGACCTATCACGATACCATCTTTGTTGGTAGGAAGAGCGTCGTATGGATTGAGCCAGGTTAGAAAATCTGTTATTATTGGTCCACTATACTCAGCTGGAACTGGTTGATCAGTACCTGGTACAGCATCACCAGCAGGCAACGGTGAAGTAAATGATGGTATACTTTTGGGCTCTTGTTTCTTCTCTTTTGACTTTTTAATGAGTCGTTTTCCGTTGATACACAGTTGCAAACCGAGATACGCCGGTGCTTTTGGTATAATTTGACGGTACACCAATTCAAAAGTCCCTGTATCGGCTTCGGGGTTCGAACGTCTGTCTAAGACGACTGGAATGTGACAAAAAATTAGTAGCTGTATTTCGATAAAGTATTTAACAAGTGAAATAAAAGTCCTATACCTTTTATTACATCTTCAAGGCATTGGGGACAAAGACGTGCTGTAACGGACGTAGTTGGCGCTAAATCTGGGCTTGAATTGATTTCTATAAGCCAAGGAGTAAAGTCTTCTGTTAACATAAAATCAGCTCCATACAATTCGAAGCTATTTTGCCGTTTGTCCATAGATTCTTGACACGCCAGCATAGCTCCAATGAGACACTGTTTAATGCCTGGATAGATTTTCGCGTCCCACATTTCATATTGTCCTATCTGTCTTCAAAATTTTAAATAACATTTTAGGCGTGTTAGCCATTTATTATTAAACATTAAAAAGAGTTTTTCTTTTCTTTTCTTTCAGCCTATGATTTATTTTATTAATTTTGATGGGATCATATTTACCCTTGCTTTAAGTATTTACCTTAGGTATGCTTTAAACGTATGGCAATCCCACATATTTTCATCTGGTAATGCTTTATCGCGATCGCCGTTATTTTTATATTTTGTTTGTATTGCATTATTCGTTAGATGGACGGATTCATGATAGTTAGATAAACTAAAGATTTGAGAACTGAATCTCAAATAACTGTCTCTAAAATATTATTGATTAGATTATTCTGATTAGTACATCTATATTAAATAACATTATAATACTGAAACTTACTTGTAAACCCATATCGTAAGTGGTTGACAATTGGTGACTAAAAACCACTGCCTAATGTCAAATTTCGTGTTATAAATAACTAGAGGATTCTCTGCAAATCAAACGTATCATATTTAAATCATATTTGACAGGTTGACAGTTTATATTCTAGTACTGTTAGTAGAATCGACTGTAGATCATGAGGTGAAATATTAATTTACCCCGTTCCCAGTTATCATCACTAATTTGATGGCTTTCAAGGCGGAAAATCCGTGATGAGCAGTGTGGTGGGGCAAAGCTCTTACGCCCTTTACGACAGAAGAGGAAACCTATGTATATATCTGTGGCGTATTAAGAGCTTAATACGCTCTACAGTACCTATATATTTTTGAACAACGTATCTCGTTTTCTGCGCCGGAATATTAATAAGACCAATTATATCCTTTATGTTATTCATCAGTTGTATGCCTTTGCCTCGGCATTTATTGCCAGGTTTTACTATCCAAATATTGAACACTCCATCTATGTCCATTTGGGGCCAGTACTTCACCATTGTTCCCAGCATTTTAGCACCTTTTTTCTCTAATTGTCTGAAAGCAAGCAAATTTTATCGTTGTAAATTTATCATAATGCCGCTACAATTATGATACATTGGGAATTGTAGACATTAAGATAAAAAACGATATCAGTAATTAACTGATTCGATTATAATGACGCAGAGTAATTAATGGTTCAATAGCGATAAGAGAGAGAAATACCGGATATTTATATTCTTGTCTTCCGCAAACTTTGAGTTTTCGTGCACCAGCAGATAATGATGGGTGAGGAATTGGTCCCATTCGTGTTCCCACACGTGTTGTGCATGTTCTTCTGTATCGTCAATATCTTTGTGGGAGAAGAAAGCTACGTATTCGCTCAGTCTTGTTATAGCAAACTCAATGGCACTAAATGGAACCTTTCCGTGTGGTTGCACCATGAGACTTTCACCCTTCTCCTGTAGAGTATTAGACAGCCACTTAAGCACACTAATACAAGCCGTTATTCTAAAGTCATCGATAAATTCTTCTAGGCTGTCAGAATTGTAAATATTGTAACAACGCGGAAAACGCGTCAAAGCTACACCCGGGTCTGTGTACCAGTGCATTTGGGTTAGTGACGACGTCAGGCCCTCCTTCGTGGTGAAAATTGATCTGCAGAACCTATAAATATTATACTCTTTAAAATAACCGAATTTAATGTCTACAATTTAAATGTTGAAGTTTATTCACCAAGCTATAAACTTAGTTAAGAAAATTTAACACTTGCAAAGCAAAGGATGTTATGAGCAAGGGTCCTTCTACTCCAAGTTAAGAAATAAAGCGTACATGATTAAAAGAAATAAAGCAGATTATGCTTCCAAAAACAACCTGCTAATAACGACATCCTTGTTGCTTAGTAGCCAATCGTATTTATCCCTCTTCGTGGTCCACAAAAAATCAACAGAATGATGTTCCATAAATTTGTATAAAATCATTCTTTCCACTTTGGTCAGTTCTTTGCCAGATACCTTTCGGGGATCAATATTTGATGGGGGATGTCGTACCTATAACAATAAAAGAGAATACATAGATTTATAATTTATTTTCATTGAAATACCAGAAAAAGAATTCAAAATGAAATTTTAATTTTATTTTGCCTCGCAATCTTTGGCGAGTCCGCTTGTGTTCTTATAGCATGGAAGGAAACATGGAGATATCGCTAAATAGGTAAGAGATAAAATGGTGTGATTTGCAACCTGGCATTTAGAGCAAGAATTTTTTTCAATATACCTTATGAGACTCGTACTTTTCAATCCAACCACGCTCCGTCAATGCTCTGCGTACAGCTGGGAAACCACCCCCCTTTATCATAAACACTTTCCGATCTTTCATCGCGGTGTCAGCTATTTTTTTTAATTCATTCCATCTGTCTGCACTTACCCAGCTTTTGTACTGTTTTAATTGCTCTATCGAAGATGTAGACTCCACTGAAAGTATAACATTAAACGATAAAAAAACTCAACATTTCTAAGTTCATTTTGTATAAGGATAAGATAAAAATTTTAAGTTTGATATATTTTCGTTAAGAACAAGACACGATGATGATAACGACAAAATATTAAGAAATTAGAGAGTCGCTATAAGATTTAATTTTGTAGCATTTAGTATTGCATCTCTTGCATAGCAGGCAGAAAATATAGAATTTAACACTACCTGCATTGTAGACATATAGAAAATACAAACCTAATCCATGATCGGATTTGGAAAGGGAAACCGCGCTAGTCGGCCTTAATTCCTTTTTCGCAATGCTTTCCTTATGGAGCTTCGAGTCAGACACACTCTCCTCTAAATCCATAGTTATAGCCATGAGAGATGCTCGCTATAGCTTGTATATATCCTGTAAAAATTGGTGAGTGAGGACATGGTTGTTTTCAGATCATCGGAACGTCTGCTCAATACGATTAACGCTTTTAGACTACGGCCTAATGTTATTGCAACTGGATTAAATTTGCAATGTGTTAACCCACTTTATTTAACCTACATAAAGAGTTCTTCCTGTTAGCTGTTGCCAAGTTACTCGTGCTCATCCCTACCTGGTACAACAACCTTTATTCACGTAATAAGCTGTACGTCCTTCAGAGTGCCTAATCTATGCAGATATTAATATGCGCTAATTATTCTTACCGTTGACTGTAAATGGGTCGCCGAGTAGAAATTATCTATTCAATTCAAAATTTCCTTGAAACAGGGCATTGACTATAAAATATAATATTACTAAAAATTTATTATGTTATTTTCTAACATTTCGTGCGGTGATTATCACAGGAGGTAATTCCTGTTTGACAGTTTGATATTATAATTTGAGCAATAGATATGTATCTCAGCAAAAAGGTAAGTTATTTCAATAATAGTAATTGTATATCGTCGATACATTCAAGTCTAGTGTCCAAGTTATTCGAAAACAGACCAAATAATATCACCATACCACGAATACCGGTTTGTACAGTTCTATGATATACAATTAATGTATACCTATTTTTTTTAAGTTTCTAAGTTTCACCCGGTACCCAATGATTACATTTACTATTATATATAACTAAATGAATCTAAAATTGATAACAATCAGCCTGATACCATTTATTTCTCTCAAGTTAGTGAAAATAATATTTTAACTATAGTTAAAAAAGTCTAGATCCACACAAATTTATATAATAACTTGTTCTTACGCATATTCTTTTTTCTTAATAACTTAATAGAGTATTGTATAAATGGCAACACTAGCCGCTAATTTCAACTGTGCGGTAAGGTTGTCGACACTGGTTAGTGACAGTCTGTACAATTTCACTTAAGTCAAACGTTTGCGATTTGACAGTTGCTTCATCTGGTGACATGAAAGCAAGATGGCGAGTTCATCTCCGGTTGATTGTTCGTTTTGTGTAACTTTTTTGTAAAATTAACGTCATTTAGTATCGGTTTCGTTTTTTCAACTTCTTTTCAATTTCGGCGGCATTATTGGAAAATTTTCGCATACTTTAGCGTTGTTTTTTTTATTTATTATTTGGGATAATTTAACTGATTTGCATCTGTTCCACCTGAGGAATGTTGCTTTTTTTCAGTGATTTGTGATTTGGTCAGGTGTTTAGAGTTAAAATTTTGTTCTTGCGCAGTGACTAGTGAGTGAGGCTTCTGAGTTTAGATGTGTTTGTGCCTTGGGGATGTTAGATGTCGAATCTGTTTCCAATGTTGGAAAACAAAAGCGTGAACTATTTGTTTTGATAAACCGAGGATAAATTAAATCCGTCAAGGTGGATCCGACAGGAGTAATGGCCTGTGAGGTAAGAGAAAACTAGAATATTATGAATTGAATGACAGTTATTGAACTCATAACATAATGCACTGCAATATAATAAGTAAGACAAGAAGTCTGGCATCGTGATTAATTTTGTGAAAAAGTTCATATTTTAATTGTGAAATTAAACAGACATCTAAACATTTAATTTGTCTTTCTAAAATTTTCTTTTGATACTTATTTGAAAACATTGTATTATATGCATATTGACAAGGCCAAGTTCTTAAAACAAATTATCTATTAAAAATGTAACGTTACCAAATGATTGACAACTAATATGCTGCTACAAATAAATCTTTTTTTAATTTAATGTATAAATTACCATACAATTCAGAGATGTTATGTCTGTGATACCTTGATAGTTATTGTACTCAGCAAAGTATATTTGCATTCCTCATTATCTACTGTAATTTTTAAGAATTTGTTATGCTACCGATAATTATAGCACAAGTATTTTGATAATAATGTCACAAGCAGTTGATAAGGGAATATTGGTTGGTAGATAAGGTTATTTGATTGACTTATAATTTAGTTTTATAGTTCACATCTAATAGATTATCTGAATACTTTTACTATCCAATATAGCATTTGAATTTGACATAAATGATCTTAGTTTTCCGACATTCGCTTAAGCTTTATAAAAAGAATAAGTGAATGTTATAAGTACAGAGTTTCCTTTTTCCATTATTATTTACTAATTTACAAATCCATGGCTATTGCCATATATATTGCTTATAATTATTATTGATAGACAATATATCATTTGTATTGTTTGTTTCATTGTATACATTTAAATTTAGGTAAAAAGATATGTAATATTAATATTGATAATAATTTTAACCTTTAATAAATAATATTTCAGCCTGGATTTGAATCTGTTAAAAAGAAGCAAATAAAAAAACAGAATATCAATTTATTATCATGAAAACCTAATTTTTTATAAGCGCTTGATTGCTCATATTCTTTAAGATATTACAAAATTCAACAAGCAACAGGGGTCTCCAAATTGACTCATTTTGGTAAGCGTTAAGTGAAGCCGTTTCTCTAATTTAAATCTTTAAAGTTGAAATATACTACTTTTATAAAAACTTGATACTAATGTACATCAAGAACAGAACAGCTATTAAACAGTTACTATACCTTTTAGAGTGAAATACTTTTTAAAATATATGCTTTGACGACTGCTACATTATTTCCATGGACCATACAATTTTAGAACCGTTTTAACAGTTTTGTTAAATATTTTTTTATATTTTTATCTATGATGTATCCAACACTAAAACAAACATCAGAGTGGGTTCCACATTTCATTTAAACCATTCCTATAATGCTGTATAAACTTTGCATTAGTACTATTGTTTCATAATTGTAACATTTTGTCAGTGGTTTCCCACGATCCGATTGTTTTAAGAGCGTGTGCGTGGCTCGACCGCAGAGGCACCAATATCGGTCGCCGTGAGAGGCCACTGTTACGTTTTCGGAGGTCAAAATTGTACCGTAACGAGTTAAGTACGTAGTTGTTGACCCTGTTAGCTGTCTTGTCATATTCAATACATATAAATTACTTTGTGAATCTGTGGCGGACGACAAGAATTGTTCAATAAGGAAGTGGTTTTAAGTAAGACCCCCCGTGACCGCTGTTGAGCTGTTGCAAAGCAATGTGTCGTAGCTAAAAATAACTTAACTAATATATTTTACGTTTTAAACATAACACATATAATTATTTACATATTAGTGTCAGTACATCAAACACGGCAGTGTAAACAAAATCAAATTATTTTAATAAGTTAACATATACATTTCGCGTTAAAAGGGGGGGAAAAAATTTCAAGAATTTTTTTATAAAACTCTCTCACCGATTCATGAGAGATGTGGCTCTTATTTATGACTAACTGCGCCAGCGACTTTGTCCGCAAGAATCGTTATTTTGGGCAACCAAATTCATTTTTGTAAACCCCTTCTTTATAAACTTAAGCTATTACCCACGACATTGATGGCGTTCCTTCCCGTCGTTCTTGCAAGTTACGCGGACTTTTTTTACATCATTTAAGAAGAGTCATTCTTTTATACATATTTTTTGGGTATCATGAACCGTTTTTGTACGTTGTTTGTACTTTTTTTAGCGATGAATAATTTTTTCCAATTTTTTTAATCACATTTTTCGCTGTATCTTCTCTCCAATCAGTCACAGGGTGATGTTTCATAGCCTTCCCAGATAAATGCTCTTAGTAAGATAGAAATAATGTTAATTCGAACCCGTAATTCCTGAGACTAGTGCGTTCAAACAAACAAACAATCTCTACAGCTTACATAATAGTAAGTATAAATATAACATAAGTAACCACGTCAGGTACCACAGTTTGTCCAATATAAGGCGGCTACGCTAATCATTTGAGTGCTATCATTACGGTTTACATTCGTCGATTGGAATGCATTTTAGCATCGTAATGGTCTTTAATAAGTAATTGCTTTCGGGGAATGGGACATTAGGCTTAACCGCATTTAAGAGTCTGTACTGTGTTCCTTGAATTGTGTCGTCACAAGACTTGAAGTCTAGAAGCGAAATGCAGTAAGGAATTTCTGCGGCCGCGGATTGATATGCGATACTATAAACGCCATACACTGTCGCAATTCATAGTAAAACAGGTTTTTGTGTATTTGACGAGCTTGTTAGTTATACGAAATGTATGTAATGGCTAATAAATAAATTGATAAGCTTTCACGGCCATAATTTTTTTGGGTGTTGGGATGTGAGCGAAAGAGGTTTGATTTCGTATATGTGACGGCATCTTCAGGAGATGTTGACTCCTCGATTGCTCGAAAATTGAATTTTCTCACATCGCCGAACACCCAAAGACAATAATAGGCTAATAATAACCGGCCCTGGGTTCGATTCCTACAAGGTCGCATGTTTTGAAAATCAATTGTTAAGTATTGTTTGTACGATTTCGCGAGTAGTATACGTTTAAATAAAACGGTTTAAATGCTACATATATAAGTGGTGGTTTTTTTTCATTTTAAACCGAAATTTTAGGCAGTATTGAAAATAAATTAACCGCATATAATTCACGTTTTAAACCGTTAAAAGTGTTTTATTTACTTCTTTTCTGAGACATGTTACACTTCCGCACAATGTCCATCTTCCTATTTTTTACAGCACATCTTTTTCATACGTTATATGACTAAGTCTGTCCTCCTCTGTCATGTAATTGACGTTATAATTATTCAATTGTAACAGCTCGTATACCTGTAGAGTGGGGTTTGTTAAGTGTTATCATACATGGGTGCGCGCATTAGAAGCGTCGCGGTGTTTGCATAGCGACAAGAGTTATCTATATGGGCCGTGGTTTCCTCACAGGGCCTCCGATTGCACCCGTACACGAGCGAATGCGGTTCCAGTCACGACCGATTTCACATGACCCCTAGTTGCACAGAAATAATGCGGTTTCCCATTGTTGACGACAATGAGAGGTGCAAGCGTGGGTGTCTTTACACACTGGTCGGGTTAGCCGAGCAAA